GCTGCAGCAGGAACTAGGAGGAGGTACTCGTACTGTTTACGTGATGAAGGTCCTCATATTCTGTGGGAGCATTGAGGAAAGGAGTGGTTCCCATGTTGAGCAGAGTGGGATAGGATGCCAGTGTTGTAATTTCTACTGTGAAAAGGGATCTCTAAATGTGTAGGTGTATTGCATGAGTCCTTTTGTTCACGTGCGAACATGATAATTAAACTGCATCCGATTGTGAGGTGTTCTGTGATTAGTTTCAGAATTATTTAACCTATGTAAGCTTGCTTGTGTCATTGCTTCAGCGAATTACTGACATCATCAAAAACACTGCATCATGGAACTGAGGCTGCAGAAAATGACTTCTCAGCTGGGATTCATCTACCTTTTCTGGAAAATAATTGTCTCAAGTGACTTAAGTTCTTCCATGTCTTTCTAGTGTGGTTCAGCTATGACCAAAGCTGTCTGGTCTTTCAGGTGATTGCTTGAGACAAACAATCTGATATCATTTTAAGAGAGTCACGCTGTCACTATTTATTGTTAATGGACCCGTCATTGAAAAGTCCCAGCCACGTCTATTTTAATATTTCTCCACATCTCTGCTTTACTGTTACTTGACACAGTGGACCCTGGATCAGAGGTGGACTGTATGAAAAAATAGCCTTCTAAAATCTGTCATATATGACTTCTCTCTGATTCAAACTCTTTATCTGGCAGTTACTGAAGGTGCAAAAACACTTCGGTTGAAATTAATTGCAACCTTCTTGTAGATTAGATTATCTTCAGATATTGAACCATAATTAAGTGTAACATTAACGGCTGTAGCTTTAAAAGAAGAGAGACAGATACAATTGGTAATGGCTGCAGGATTATGGGATATATTTTAGCTTCAGGAAGGTATTTTCTACTCCTGTCAACAGTGTTTCTCACTGAAATTTTCTCAGTGTTTACTTTGGTGAAGTTGTCATTCGCTGCAGACCATACTAAAATCTTTAGGAGGGGAGAAAAGAAAATGCCTTTTTAGTGTGTGAATTTTAGCACGAGTGAGAGATAATACAAGATGAGAATAGGGTCTGCATAGAAAAAAGCAGAGTCAAATGAAATGTGGAATAAAGTGGGAAAGAATGATGTTAACTTGGCATCTTTTAACATTTACATGACTTTGAGTAGTTCAGAGTAGTGTTTTGTGAGCACAGAACATGACCAGTGTCACCAGAAAATGAAGCATTTCTTAAACCAATTTCACATGCTCTAATAACTACAAGAAAAATAAAGCTATCCCTTCAAATTACCCTTTACTGTACAGGTTTGGAACTCTTCTATGATTATGGTAGAATAAAAGATTTCCTCAGAGTCTCCCTAAGCTGTTGCCACTCAAGCAGATGTTGATACGGATTTATTTTTTTCTTTAACTGAGAGTGTGAGTTTGAGGGACCAGCCTTCCTGGCTGTATCTTTATTGGTCTGCTGCAAAACTAAATTATCCATTAACCATCTTTAACAGGGTGCTGGTTTTACATTGTTTGTTGTAGTGTGTCCAGCTATCAGCTTTTAAGAAGTCCAGTAAGATCAAAAACGTATTTCTGAAAGCTAATGTTCAAAGACCTAGTCTAGCAAAAACTGTACTAATTAAAAAGCAATGTGCTTTTTTTCCATTCAACCAATTAGATTTTTTTTGTTAAATTAACCTTTGAAACTGTGTTTTATGGAGTTGTGATCTGTAAGGAAGATGGGCAGTGTTTGTCCATTTTTCCTATGCAATAATTGGTACCAAAGAACTCGTCACTGTTGGGTAATGTAATGATACAAACCAGCTTTGTCATACCTCACTATTGCGAGTCCTCATTGCTGAAATCCAGGGCTAGGTATTGTTGAGGTATTCTAAATTTTCCCAATAAAATATTTTAAAAAACCCAGCTATGTGTTTCTTCATGGTAATGTGGAGAGTCATCCAGTCTGAAATGAGAACAGGTCCCTTTGAACTCCCACAACTCTAACGTACGTTATTTCTCTTGTGGGAAGGCAGCAGGTTAGGGCCTCCTTGTGCCTGGTGTGCAAACCAGCTTCGTCCTCTGCGTCCCCCTGCTGTGCCCTGAGCACAACGCCTATCTTTCTTCCTCATCTCAGTGCTGTTCAGTCTTCAGGCACAAGGGAATTAACTGGATAGAGTGTGTGCACCAGTTTTATGCCGTGTTCTCAAACTTCTCTTTCAGCCTGCGCCTTTGCCTTTCTAGCATAGTGCCTTTGTTTCTCCCCTTTTCTTCTCTCTTACATAAAACTGCCTGATCTTGAGATCAAATTTCAGATTTCTGTGATAATTTTAAGTAAACCTAGAGGAATATGACAACTCATCTAAGAACCAAATCTGGTTCTGTAACAATTGCCGAATATGCTCTCAGTTGTGAAAGCTGTCTCTTTCCGTGGAAAAAACATTCTGAGTTTATTTATATTTTAATGTTAATTTTTTCAGCAGTAAGGAAGGTAAGTATAATTTGCCTATCATCCTTAAAGGGGCAGGGAAAAATCTTGTATTGGTTTTAATTGCAATATTTTATCTGAAAGCAGCTCAATGTCTATGCAGATTTCTTTGTTCCGAGCCCTTTTCAGAATTTTTTTCCAGGCAGGTTACTGTCTGCGGGGTTGGCCCATAAGAAGGATGAGTGGTTGGTGAACTGAGAGTGATAAAGACAAAGCAAAAAGTTCGTCTTGGTGTCCTCCTGTTTCAACAGCAACAATCGCAGCTGGTTTTGGCATAATTTCGGCGTTGATCTAGCCTGGTGCTGTAGAGGAAAGAATGCTGAGTGCCACAAGTGACCTCAGTTATCTGCTTGAAACTGGGAGATGATTCTGAAACTGGGAGAAGAGAGCTTTTGTGCAAGTCATACCTTGTGAGGGATATGACCCTCTTTGAGTAATCAATGTTTGACTATATTTGAGAATGAATTGATAAATATATTGATTAGGATCTGTGCCTGTTTCTCCTCCCATATTTCGTTCCTAATATCGGATTTGGAACTAGATAGCAAGAATGACTGTGACCAGTTGTGGAAAAGTTTCACATCACATTTATTTTTCTTGGTTTTTTACATAATCAATCTTTGTCTTTCTCTTTCAGACAATTCTGCATATATGGGCTGTTTGGGTGTGTATTTGTAGGTTTTTTTCTCCATTCTTCCCTTCCATTTCTTTATGTGAAAAACATGTTTATAGATCAGTTGAATGCTAAGGAAACAGCTTTTTAAACTTGGATTCAACCCCCTGATTCAAATAGATTTCAGTTCAGATATGTTGTTTAACCAATAATATTTTTGGTACAGCTTTGTGAGCTGCAAACACTTCATCTGGATTCAGCAGTAGGGAAAACGGGAATGGGGACGTGTAGCTGACTTTTACTAGTAGTAGTGTTTTTAGATAAAGTAGTTTTTTCAGATAAACAGCTGAAAAATTAAGATATTTTAAAATAACTTTTGAGACCCTAATATGTACAGCCTCAACTTATGGCGAAGCTAAACAGTTTATTTATGCAATAAGCTCCCCTGTTTTGCTTGAAAAAGAGGAGGGATTAAGGCATTCTAATCATAGCCTCTTTTAATTTTTTTTGTCTTAAGAACAAAAAAAAAAAAGGAGGAATTTATTTTGTCACTGCCTTCCATGTTCATATGGTGACACCTGTCATGGAGGGAGATGTAGTTCCAGATGCTGTTTTCCCACAGTTTTTGAAGTCTGATTTCATGTGATCTGTTCTTCCTCCTGTTGGGGTAGGATTCACAGGCCATTAAAGGACTGCAGGAATGTAGCGTAGACATTGACTTGACACCAGTCTTTTGTTCACTCTTTCATTTGCTTGGCAGCTCTTTGTAGAGTTATGAGCAGAAATGAAAACAGATACACTGCGTGCAGTGCTTGAGTATCATAATACAGAGAGGGAATAACATGAATTATTTTTGCAGGGAGTGGACACCCTCTGATATGATACTTTTATTTTGTGCTGGGCCTATTTGGAGCTGAAGGTGTAGGCTTTAGGAACAGAGCTTCTGAGGCAGCCTGTGATAATAAATAACTTATTTTCTGTTTTTCATTTATGTGTCAAGTTTCATTGGAAGTGCTTATAATTTATGAGTTTTATTTTCTCTTTCTCATGTATAACATTAGTGTTATGTGGTCACATGCTGATTTTAATCAATAGGTTCATAACAGTTTTCTGAAGTTGGATTTTGAAGGCAGATGCTTCTCCACCAGAGTGTCTCTAGGTGATAAGAGGATGTTACTGTCTGTCTTTACTTCTCAAGATGCTTCTGTCCAGCAGATGAGTTCTGTGTTTTTAGTGATGTGGGTCTGTTTCAGATTAACTTGGACCCTGATGGTCTTCAATAACTTTCAACTGGATCTTCTTTAACACGGGTGTTTTTATTAGTGTCGTGTGGTGTGAAATTAAGGCAAAGGTCGTGTACGTATTGTCCCTTTTATCAGATTAATGCAGTTTGTTGCATCAAATGCCAAAACAAATGGGGAGGAGTGTGACAGGTTTTGAAACTGCTGAGCAGTAAATGTTAAACTTGTCTTTCACAACTGTCTGAGGGACAAACACGGTTTTCTCCAGCACAAATAGTTTTCCAGGGCAGCAAATACATACTTAAAACCTAAACTTCACGGATATTTTAGTACTGTAATGCAGAACAGAGAAAGGGCTGTAAGACTTGGCTCCATTTTGCAGGTTATCAGGCAAAGTTTCTATATTTGCAGCTTCACAGGAGCGAGCACCCCTGCCATGTCGGAGGGCCGAAGGGCAACCGTGGGGTGTGTGTGCATACGTCCGTGCAAACCAGCTTGTTTATTTGCTGTTATTTTATTTCCTTTGTGCAGATTCGTCGAAGGCGCCTTGCTCGGTTGGCGGGGGGACCATCGTCCCAGCCGACGACGCCACTGACGTCACCGCAGAGAGAGACCCCCCCTGGACCACCCATAGTAGCACCAGCCCCGGGGCCATCCCATAGTCTAGGCCTAAATGTCCACAGCATGACCCCAGCTACCTCTCCCATCGGTGCATCAGGTAGGCTGGCGTGTTAGTGACAACAATAGTTATTGTATGTCTGCTGAAAGTTATTGTACAGCCCCGTGTCTTTAGAACATGAACGCTATTACCCTGCTGCTGTCTGACGCTTCTCTGAAGAAGGCTTCATTGCAAAGTGAATCCATCTGTTCCTGTCCTGACGCTCATCGGCCGTGCTCCAAAGTCGTTATATTGCTCTCCATTTGCTGGTGTTGCACTTAGTGCATTTTGTTAGGACTTTTTGGATGCTTATTTTATTCTTGTGGAGAAGGAAAAGTGCTGATAATTTCCCAGTAAATTGTGGGAGGTTTTGTGGGAAGACTGTCAGAACTCAAGTGATCTCCATTGTAATGCCCCAGCGTGAAGTCCTGTTCTGATAGGACTGACTTTAGAGGGGCTTTGACAAAGTCTTAAGTTAGAGCAATCTTATAAAAATACCAGTTTGTCCGTGTATTTTTTTTTTTAATGGGATTGAATCTCTGAGCACTTAGTGGATGCAAATTTAGTTTTGTTCTTGGTGTTGTAATGCAGATAAGCATTCCTATATTGGCGGCTGCAAGAGGTAGAAAATGTGATTATCTGTAGTCAAATGTGAATATTAATACTTATTTCCTAATGCATTACTAAGAATGCTTAAGACCTGGATTGAAAAACAGTATTTCCTCTCCTTCTCCATCCAAATAATTGTGTTCTGTAGTAGTAATCTTGGTGGTGCCTTTTCTCTAGGAGTAGCCCACCGAAGCCAGAGCAGCGAAGGAGTGAGTTCACTCAGCAGTTCTCCATCTAACAGCCTTGAAACACAATCTCAGTCTCTCTCTCGGTCTCAGAGCATGGATATTGATAGTGTCTCCTGTGAGAAAAGGTAAAAAATGCAGCTTGTATAAGCCAGGAAATACCGTGAAATGCTAATCATCAAAACCGCTTACACAGGAAAATATTCCACAATTTCTCCCTTCCAGCCATGTGAATGCAGTAGGGCTAAATATTTAAAAATGGCACTCTGTTTAGACACTGTAATGCTTTTTCTGGTCTGGTTTTACTGAGGATAATTTAGCTACTCAAAAAAGAAAAGGTTATGGGATGTGCTAGCTGTGTAGTTTGTATTGCCTCCTGAAGAAACTTAGTATTCTGTTTCTTGAATTCAAAATAAATGAAACACGAGATGTAGCTATCAGCTAGGGATTTTAACTGCTGTTTGTGCATATGACTGTCCTTCTGCTTTGGTGTTTTTCTGCTGCTTTCTCTTTCGGTCAGCATCTTACAGAGGACTGTCTGCAGCTTTCTACAAGTTAATGGGCTTCTTTCCTTATTTCCACTTACAGCATGTCCCAGGTAGATGTGGATTCAGGAATTGAAAATATGGAGGTTGATGAGAATGATCGCAGAGAGAAAAGGAGTCTGACGGATAAGGTTAGTCTGGTTCATGTTGGCTGTTCTTTTCCAGACTACATGGGTATGTTATTGTAACATCAAGCTTCAGGATTTCATGGGAGAACCTGTGCAGATGATGCAATTTGGAGTTGGATGGAACTAGCCCTCAGATGTCATCTGAACAATTTCTTCACTGTATTTCCTCATTAAAATTTGTGGGAATGAAAAATAAAAACTTCCAATATCAAAGCTGCATTTTGATTGTCTCAAATTTGGCTTATGAGTGATATTTGAAAACTCTGAAGAAAACGTTTTGGTTGTATATCCTACTACAAAGTGACCTATTAATGCCCAGATCTACTTTTTAGTATGCGGTAGGCCTGAAGAAATATTTTAAGAAACTTGTGAATTTTGTTGCAGCTTATATGTATAGCACTTAGATGTCTCCTAACAAAGTACTGCTTCAAATATTATGTATGCTGAAGGTATGCTCCATAATAAGGTTTTCTTCTTAATGATATAATAAGAAAATAAATAAGAATATTTAGCTAGGTTTAAACAGAGTCGTAGAACCCTTTAAAGCAGAAAAAGAAAGCAAGCAAGTACAAAGCTCTAATTCACTTCTAAGATTGTCCTCTTTGTCATTTGATTTTAAGGCCCATGTGAAATAAAACCCTAAAGAAATGGGACATCAGTGTAGTGGAGAGAAGATTCTACAACAATTTTTGCAGTGCTCATTAGATGTCTTTGTTTATTCCTGCACTGTCAGTAATAAGGTCAGTTGGTAAAAGCCTGGCTTAAAGCCATGTAGCAATAACCCTGCCGCAGAATCCTTTCCAGTCAATTCCTAGCTGCAAATCAGGCAGTCGGGCAGCTTGCATTGTGCTACTGAGAAATAAATAGCTTGGAAGCAAGGACAATCTTGAAGCGAGGGGAGCAGTGGAAGGTAAAATAAAGCTTTGCAAACTTGGTTCAATTCCTCTTACTCATTTGGATGTATCAAGAAGTTAAGTGGAAAGGAGACAGCATAGCCCTCGTTTATGAGCAAAAAAAATTATTGCCTGGTTATCTGCATTGGAAATGATGTCAATAATAAAGCAGAAATGGGCAGAAATACCTGAAAACACTAGAATACCCATGTGCTACCCCTTCTCGCATTGCAGGGGTAATTACTTCAGTTTTATTTCTTTGTATTCCAAAGTTTTTTCAGGTGCACACTCAAAAGTTGCCTTAGGGTTGCAAGAACCCTCCCACTCAACGCTTGCCAGCCACTATATATGGTAGTGTTCTTTTTAGAGAAACTAGATTTTCATTTTGTTCACAGTTTTCATGACCTTCCTTTTTTGGAAGAAGGGGGAACAAGGCAAATTCTTGAGTCTTTTGTCCTGTTCTGGCTTAATTCAGGTGAAAGATGTATTTGTCTTGGGCAAAGATTTGAAAGCAGAAGAGACTTGGAAGTTCGCTCCTTCCTGTGCTTTCATTTTTACAAGAAACTCTTAAATGCCTGTGCATAATGAAAATTTGAATCTCCAATTAATTCCTTAAAGGAAAAATCATTGGTATCTTGGTGAAATTTCACTTCTCATTGTACTGTTTTTGAATGTGTTTTGGGAATTTGCTTCCTGCTGGATTTGTGTATTTCTCCTACATCTTTTCTGCATCTTTTTGTGTTTCTTCAGGGTTTTTTTCCAAATAAATTTTGACAAATTTGTCTATATTCCTTCATAAGTATACAGAATTTACCATTAAGGGTCAGTCTGAAGCCATTTACAGAGCAGCTGTGTCTGAAAACATTGTGACTTGATTAATACAAACGCAAATAAATTGATTTCCACCCTCCCTCCCCAAGGAACCTCTGTCTGGGTCTGAAGTGTCTGAGGAGCAGGCTTTACAGCTGGTCTGTAAGATCTTCAGAGTCTCTTGGAAGGACCGAGACAGAGATGTTATCTTCCTGAATTCACTCTCTGCCCAGTTTAAGCAGAACCCAAAGGAAGGTAGGTGTCTGAATGGTTGTCACTGTTGGGGATTGCTTCAGTTGGGTGGCAGGTTCCCTACTCTTATTTTTAGCTTTTTCTCTCTTTGCTCCAATGCCGGAGCCACGTACTTGTGATCTTTGCTTGATTTCAACATCTGCTGTCAGCAGATGTATCAGGAAAATGAATCCCCAAAAAGGAACATGGGACCAGTTGGTCATAGCTCCTGTTTTTGTCAGTGGCTGTGCTCTTGTCAGTTGTGTTCTCTGTTGCCAAACTAGTGTGCTGATATTGCAGTGTTGCTGGATTCTTTCTTCTTTTATTTTTCAGAGACCTTTTACTGAATGGGTTGTCTTGCATCATAATAGACATTTAGCAGTTAATTTTATAAGCTAAGAATTCCTGATTATATAACAAATTATATTTTATGTCAGCTACAGGATATGACCAAATTAAAAATCGTTGCTTTATGTGTGGGCATATGCGGGGTGTGTGCGTGTTTCTTCTCTTTATGACACAAGTTGCCCGACTCAACAGCAGGGTAAGGAAGTATGAGTGGGACGGGCAAGACAACTTTAATAATCAACAATAATGACATTAGGTCATCTGTGATCTCTTGTACTTTCCATAAAAGTGATATTTTTGTGTAGCTGTAATTCCAGAACCTAGTTAACGTAGAGTTATAAATGTGTCAGTCTATTGTTTTCACTGAAGCAGCACTTAATTTCACAGAAGTAAATTACTGTCCTTCTTAATGGAAATCTCTGATAATACAGCTCTGACTAATATGTAGATGAAGGCAGTAGGTGAGGATACTAACTGTCTTGCTCTTAACAGTGTTTTCAGATTTTAAGGACTTGATTGGGCAGATTTTGATGGAAGTGCTGATGATGTCCACCCAGTCGAGGGATGAAAACCCGTTTGCCAGCCTGACAGCTACATCCCAACCAATTGCTGCAGCTGCCCGGTCTCCTGACAGAAGCCTGATGTTAAACATGGGCTCTAACCCAGGAAGCAGCCCTATGTTCTGTAACGTGGGCTCCTTTGGTTCCAGTTCATTATCCAGGTGACTTCTGATTGTAACTGAATACTGATTTCCCTTGAACATTCATTGGTAGACTAGAAGAGAGAGAGGGGCATAGAAATGTCCCAAGAACAATAAATAGAATAGAATTTTAAAGTTCTTCACTTTTTCACATGAATGTCCCTCCATTTCACCATTTTTGGTTACATTGCCATGGCTAGAAGTGTATTTGATAGGTTGAAGCCATGTAGCTGGTTCCCTCTGATTAGTATATCCCTAACTTGCAACACTGAAGGCTATGACTCTTAACTTAAAAGTGTGTGGATTGTGACATAGCTTTATTCAACAATAGTAAAAAGGAATAATGTGTGTGAGCTGCAGAATTATTGCTGAAGAGTCATCAGAAGGGCAAGGGCTTCTCTTGCTCGTTTTATCTTTTTCACCCTTTTTCTGCATATCCTAAATCGTTGCTTTTTTTTTTTTTTTCTTTTTCCCCTGTAACTGGTTTAGTCTCTATGGGACTAGTCCAGCTTCTACTACCAATTTCACAAGCTATGTACCAATGACTGGTTCATCTCTTACCCCACCAGCCAGCTCAGTTGCCACTGCATCTGTGCCTTCCATTACTGTCAGCTCTCACCTCACAGCAACAAGCCCTTCTTCGATTCAGCCTTCTTCTCCGAGGTACCGGCCATACACTGTTACCCATTCTGGAGGCTTTTCAACTTCTTCCATCCCACGTTCCTTGAATATTCCCATCCCGTCTAGTTCACCAAGTCCTCGGGCCGTGGCTGCTAGCCCTCCAGCCATGCCGCTCATCACCTCCAGGCAGAGACCCACAACCATGGGTCCGCCTTTGTTTACTGCTTCACCCAGTACCTTGCGCAGGCGTTCTTCTTTACTGAACAGGATTCCTTCTAGGTATTTCACAAGAATAAGAGTGTGTTTAACGTGTGCTGTGCAGGGTGTGGCATAATCGTGCAATTTGGAAGAACTTGTGTTTGTGCTGAGCTCACCTTACTTACCCCGAGTTGATTTCTGCGTTTTGGTTTGTGCTAATACATTGACTTGCTAACAAGCTGTCTTTGCCAAAATGTTAAACCTGTTTCTGCGAGCATTTGAGGTGTAACGTAATTACTTTAAAGCTAGCAATATTGTTTTAATTTCCTTTTCTTCTTACATCCATTCCAGTTAAGCTATTAGCTTTCTGTTCAGTTGCTACTGCTGGATGGTAAACCAAACAGAGTTCCTGCTTTGAAATCAGTTTTCTTAGTAGGGCTTTAGTTGATTTGTTGAAAGCTGTTAATTGCTGGACTGTGTTAGATTTGATGCCTTAGTGCATAGATGTAAATTACAGATTAGCCCATTTCGGGATGCCAGGCCAAGTACTGCTGCATTTTCTCTGGCTGCTGCTGGAGTCCCCAGTCCCTGCAGGAGGGAGGAACGAGCATGGGAGGATTTGAGACTGCTGCTTTAAGTTTCAGTAGCTTAGAATTGTAATACTTGCTATTCAGTCATGTTTAAACATTCCCGCTTCAGCCATAATTTTTATTAGGTCTTAAAAATTCTTTTCACGTTTTTGGTTTGTGAATGTTTGCTGGTTTGATATGTGAATGACTTGTAGTGGTGTCACAGAGCATGTTACTATAGTCTTGGTTTTACTAACATGGAGTTACCCGTTGTTGCATGTTTAGAGAAGATGATTTTTGTCAGACTTAAGAGGAAAAGCTACCATTTACTTTTTCTTTTGGCTTATAAAATCTGATGGCCTTTTTCATTTTTGTTGTGGTAGTATATACGACAACCCTTTCTCCCTCCTCCTTCTTGCCGTTTCTGATGTGTCTGAGGACAGTAGTGATGAAGAAAATGAAGATGATGATTTTGCTTGTGTCCAGTTTGGGTCCAGGTATTGGAGAAAGAGAATGTAACCTGCACGTTTGGTTGCTTAGGAACTAACAGTCTGTGTCAAGTGTTTTTCAGAGTAACTTGGGAAATGACTAAAGCTGAGGAGATGACCTGGATGGTTTTTAAGATGGTGTATAAATGTGTCTAATGAATGCTAGTTAGTCAGCTCTTTTTTGAAGAGATGACTAAGATAAAGTGAATGTTAATCATACAGCCTCTTAGGGTTAATGAGCATGGTTTCTGAAATGATGTTGGAGGGGGAATCCTCATTGACTGTATGAGTAGAAGGAATATTGTTCACCTGTGGTTGTAATTTTAAAACCAGTGATACCTCATGTGCTTGTTTTCCTGTCAAAAACTGGAAAATAAGGAGAAAAGTTAATGTATAGAAAAAGATATGGTGGCAAATAGCTATCTGCTGCAAACTGGATGGCTTTGTTGAAGATTCATTGCCACTTGACAGCTGAGGATCACTCCTTTAGCCTGCAAAGACAAGACAGTGAAAGTTTAAACTGGTCCTTGACGTGGTTGGTAGTAGAGGCTGAGGTAGTTGGAACAGCCAGGAATGGAGGGGGAAGAGCAGAATATTTTACTGTAAAGCAGAGGCTTAAAAATCACATAGAAAAGCCTTTTCATTTGGGTAACATTAAGAGATGTGAAAACAAAATGAGAATTGATATTAGTGAGATCTGTTTTGAAGCTAGCCAGATAGCTGTGCAAAAATAAACATTAGGAAGTGTCTTGTGATGTCAGGGAATGCTCAAAAGACTTGGTAGGAGACCGTCTTTTCCCCTCCACGAGCTTTTCTGTCTATGGTTGTTCCTGTGGTGTGCTGGGACACTGCTGCTAGTAAGACTGTTAACTACGAGACCTTCCAACAGCATCTCCTCTTTTCCGTTCCAGTAATTTCAGGATAGTGAGCTTGATCGCACAGGCTTAGAGTTTTTTGTATGCATGGAATTTAGGATTATTTTTCCCCAGTGTTTTGTTTAATTCTTATCCTGTTGGTGATTTAATCCAAATGTTGGATTGAGTCACAAAGCCCTTGGTAAAGATTTCTGAGGTTGCTATGCTTCTGGAGTCTTAGTTTGTAAATTATGTCCAGGCATTCCACAGCCAGCAGTAGGATGTTAGTTAAATTATAAACACAGGGACTGTACAATTATGCAACAACTCGCGTTCTGAAAATACCAAGGCATTCAGTGTGTGTATGGAGGATGTATGAGCTTTGCAGTTGAGTAATTTCAGTTACTACTGCAGTGAAATAATTAACAGAATGACTAACTGTAGAAGTAGTAGGTTTTTTATATAAATTGATGTTCTTAAAAGGGTAATTTTTAAGCCAAATGTGAGAAGTCGAGAGGTTTAAGAGAGAGGCTACAGAAAATGTATGTATGATTTCATGATTGCTGAGTAGTATTTTAATAGAGCTACGTTTTCCATGGATTAGTTTTAATTGAATAACTGAAAACAAATTCTCTCTGCAAAAAGAGATTGCTGCTGTTAGAAGTCATGTTTCTTAACATGCTGAGCTACCAGATGCTCCGCAGTAATAACCTTTCCCTGATTTACTGCTTGCGCTGTAAAACTTGCACAATAGATCTGTACAGCTCAATTATTAAAAAGTAAATTATTTTATAGTTAAAGGAAATTCCAGTTTCAACACAATTTGTGGTTTTAAGCATGTTTTTAAGAGCTGCATTTAAGGAAACAAATACTCTTATTTTCCAGTTTAAGATCTGGGGCTTACAAATTGGTCCTCATTTAAATCCACCCTGACTGTACATAGACTTTTCTTTGAGGAATAGCAGTAGACTATCCATGTAATTGCTGTTTTTTTTAATGCCATCTACATCAAGTGAATATATCTTGTCTTCCTTCTGTAAAGTGAGGATTTTGCTTTTAATTGGCTTTGCCAAGCTGTTATGTAGAGAGGAATTTTGTTAAGATAATGTCTGAGATTGAGAGTTGTGGAGTATAGTCTCACTTTTTTCTCTTCTCTCAAGCATGGCTTTATTTTTGTCAATTTAGGTTTTGAGTTTACAATGTCAGTGTTCCCCCCACCGCCCCGCACAATGAAATGACATATTTTGCTGTGAGGGAATTGAAATGAACTGAGTTGAAATTAAATAATTTGTAATGTGGGAATTTTAGAAGAGGCAGTTCCTTTGGTGTATTGCCTCCTGTTTGGTTTATTCTTCTTCCTTAGAATACGGACAGTGATTGTCTGTAGCCCCACGTGTCAGCTAAGGTCTCTTCTCTGCGGTGGGAGGATCCCCCCTCCATGGGTTGGCAATTCCTCCCATTTGGAATGCTGTACAGGAGCTGTGCAGAGGGTGCATCATGGCATGGAAGTGTGGTGGTGTCCTGGGTGTCCAAACACTTTTGATGTCGGGTACAACTGTTCCTTGTCGGTGTTACTATGTGAGAACAAGGTTTATCAATTCCCGTTAAAGTCGCGCACCTTCTTGCTGTCTTTCAGGTACTTGGTCATTTAATCAGATAGCTGGTTCTCCAGACCTGTTAGAGTACAGCTGAACTTTTGGAGCGGGACAAGCTGTTAAACGGAGAGCTCTTCACAGATCACAGAAATTTATCTTTATTATTGAGCCATGTGTGTGGTGGGATGGAGTTTTCAGAAAACTGATAGAGGAAGTCAAGAGCTCAGGAATTATCTGATTGTGCACAAGTGAGGAACTGTACCTAATGCTTGCTTTCTTCTTTCTGTGTGTGTTCAAGTATGGGAGGATCTGGCAGCTCAAGTGTTTCCGATTCCTGCAGTGACCACTTCACCATTGAAAACTGCAAGGAGACGGAGATGCTGAACTACCTCATTGAGTGTTTTGACAGAGTTGGAATAGAGGAGAGAAAAGCGCCAAAGGTACATTTCAGTGAGTGAAGTTGTGTCAGTGCTGTCACAGATGCTCCCCTTACTATTTAGTGGGGAAAGCTGGTGGAAATTTATGGTTCTTTCTTGAAGGCTTTGTTGTAAAAATAGTTTTATGGAATTTATAAGGTCCCTTTGACTCTTATATGTGATTCAAATATGATGAATTAATATGTTTTACATCTCTAAAATAAGCACCGTGTTAGAAACTGTCCTTCGCCTCTTGATCCACTGCATTTTATCCAAGTTTATTCTGTGTAAAACATACTTTCGTGAGACCAGCTCCCTGTCAGTGCTCTATATTCTGCTTTAAGCTTTTGATTCTGGGGAAAAAACAACCAACACTTTCCATATATAATCTGAAAGGTTTTTAGCTGGAGTAGCGCTAACCTTAGTTTGTATATTACATTCATATTGCATGAATAAAGAAACTTATATTTCCTGTCTGTTCTGTCTCCGTATACTTTTAGTTTGTATTAAAATGAAGTTATTTTTATCAGATGTGTAGCCAACCAACAGTTAGCCAGTTACTGAGCAACGTCCGATCACAGTGCATTTCACACGCTGCTTTGGTGCTACAGGGATCCTTAACGCAACCAAGGTAAATACAGCTGGTGATAGCCATGGAAGTTAGATTGTTTGGGGATTTTTTTTTTCTTCTAAGGACTAGGTAAGAAAACTAAGATCAGTTGTTGGAGCAGGATACATTTATGTGCCAGAGGAATAGTTTTCTGCTTTGCCATTGGAGACTACTGTTCCCACTAGAGAGTTTTTACCATAACAGATTTGGTAATGGAAATCTGTGTGTAGGCATTCTACGCTAAATCAAGACTCTGAGATTTCAAGTGCAGTTGTTTCAGCAGCAGTTGTTTAACTAGCAGCCTGTTTAGCTGGAACAGTAAAAAGGTTTTTAAAATAGGATATGTGACTTTTACGAAAATCTGCCTAATTTTGTGTTTGCGTTTCCAACTAATACTTCTGTCATCTCTAAGGTGCACCAATTATTTACTGTGCTTTGAGATTAGCTTTGTCTTTAATGGCAACATTGGTTCATGTAGACTTAATTTTTATGTATGTGATAAAAAAAAAATACTTTTTGAAAAATGCTAGCAGTTAAAAGTAACAACTGTATTAATTCAGAAAAGACTAACGTTATGTTCTTTTCTTAATCTGGAAAAACAAACATCAAAAAAAAGTTGTTCCTTCACTAGTTGAGCTTAACAAAGGGTCTTTTCATTGGAGGGGAGTAGAAAGGAGAACCAATTACTAGACAGAAGCTGTTATTTTCTTCCAGCCTCATTAAACTAAAGTGTGATGTTGGCAGCAGCATCTGTTTCAGAATAACCTTTCCACAAGTAACTTGAGAGGACAAGGTTAGTTACTTCTGAAAGGAGTAGGTGTGCCTACAGGTTGATAATCTACTTTCAGGCACATCTAAGGATTTGATAACTCTGACATTTTTACAAATACTACTTCAAATAATCAGGAGGTTTGGATTTTTTTTTTTTTTAAATAAAAATAAAGGTCGTTGCAGCAGCAGTCTTTGCTGGTACCATATATGCTGTGTAGGAATCTCCCATTTGGCTTCATCCAAGAATTGGTGAGAACAACTTATCAGGATGAAGAGGTGTTCAAACAGGTGAGGCATGGGTAAAAAAGAAATAATTATATCATGCGCTTATATTATTTGCAATATGCAAGGGAGTGGATTTCCAGAGGTTTATTCTGCATCTCACAGTTCTGTACCTATTACTTCAGGGGCTAGCAACCTGTTACGCACTTGGAGTTTGTTTTTGTTCGTTTTTAACTCCTTTAGCATTTTGTGAAAAAGACGGACTTTCATTATTTGCCGGTTCAAATTATTAAAAGTGCATTTGTTAATAAGCACAGAACATTTATGTAATGTTGAAGTGGACTACTCAGAATATGCAGGCGTATATTACAGAGCTTGAGTTTTCATCCTTCTGTGTTTCTGTACAAAATAGCCTAAAAATGTCTGTGTAGCTGAACACACAGCTTTGTAGCTGTCAGCTTTGGGTCCAAATCTAGATGTACATGTCTTTGGGGTTATTTGTTTTCCAAAGTAAATGTTTGGAAACAAGTAAGACTGTGATCAGGTAAAAGACATACAAGGGCTTGGAAATAAGTTTTTATGGGTAAGTTGTTATGCTCAGGCATCAAGCCAATACATCACTTACAGTAGATCAGTCAAGTTGATTCTTAGCTTTGAATAATCTGTTAAACATTCAAGCTTGACTGATAGACAAAAGAAAAACATATTTTCTTTATATTTGTAAGTTGCAGTATTTGAAGAATGAACAGGCATTTCATGCTGTGTACAGCGGTAGTGTCGTCTCATTGCTTCCTATTCTTGAGTGACCTAATCTGCTTCTGTTTTTACAGATCTTTATTCCCATTTTACAAGGCCTGGCTGTAGCTTCCAAAGAGTGCTCCCTTGATAGTGACAATTTTAAATACCCGCTTATGGTAAGGATGGTTCATTTCTAGAAGCAGTTTGTTTATTGTTACTGGTAACTTATGCAGATTCTCTACAAAATAATGTACTTCGATGTTTTGGGGCTTCCTTTGGTTAGTGGATTACTGTTAAACTGTTGGAAGCTCAATGTGGTGTAAGATGTGTAAAAGAGTTAAAAATCCAGCAGAGTCTGGGGCCACTAATATCTTAAGCTTAATGTCCAGAGTTTCTATAGTGGGCTATTCAAATGTTTATATGTATTGTTTTATATAAGATTAATCAAATCTATGGATTTTATCATGCATACTAGTTACAATACTGTGGATGGGTAGCTAAGCTCCTCCCAGTTTAAGTCTGGGAAATAAGGCCCAACATCCACACCAATGTTTGTTGGACTAATCTTTTATGTGGGCAACTCAAATCTATTGCATTAAACCCAAAATTATTTGAATTGGTGACTACTTACTATAGGAACATGTCATAATATTGCCTGGATGAAAAGTTGGGGCGGTTATTTTTAGGTTTTTTTTAAGTACATACTTTAGACCCTAGATCTGCTTCCCTCCTGCTTTTATTGACCAAACAAAAAAGTCTTTGAAAGCATGCTTGGCCACAAAAGAGCGAGCTAAATTGAGCATTGTCAGCTAGCACCTTCAGATTTCAGGGTCTTCAGTGTATGATGCCAAGAAATGCTGTTACATCTCGGGTTTAATTTGTACTTCAGGAAGTTATCTGGACTGGGGTGCTGCAAATCACATGGACTAAGCAACTCTGGTACTTTTTGCAAAAATAACCATTTTTGCTCGTTCTGTGTTTTCCTACTCTTCTGTTATTCCCCCCAATTTAAATTGTGGATTCTTGCAAGTAAGAGCTACTCAAAAATTATATTCCATTTTAATCTTCTCCAGTTGGCACAGTGTGCACAAAAGGATGCAATAGAATTACTACCTATAATGTAACTGAAGAATAAGAACTTGTAATACAGGGGAAGCAGGATATGTGCAAGCCTACAGTATTTCTGTGTTTTCAGCATCGTCTGTCTTTCTTTTTTCTGTGCTGCAGTTGAAAGTGAGTTAGAGATCTTGGATAGGATTCTTTGTTTCTGGCTTCTGTGTTCATCTGACATTTTACCACTCTGATTCAAAAGACAAAGGCCTTGGTGTATGTATAGAACAATTGCTCTATTTATTATTGTTACTGACTTTCATGTGGCAGTTCAGGAGTCCAGCAAGGGCATTGTTACATTCTGAACAAACAATTTGCACAGCTAATTTTTGAAATAAGTGCAATAATTTATTATCCTCTGAGACATGTTAGCTTTTTTGAGACAAGCTGGAACAGATGTAAAAGCTAAAATGGGAGCAGGGTGTGCTCTAGCTTTTTTTGGACCTCTTCAACATTGTAGAAGATGGAAGGTTTTCCACAGATTAAGGGGAAGAAGGTTTGGCTTTTTCAGCAGTTTACCACGTTAAGCTTGTTATTTGCAGGCAGGTGATTTAGGAATTACACAGGAAAGTAATTTTTCTTGGGATTTCTTTATAGGCACTATGTGAACTTTGTGAAATCAAGTTTGGGAAAACACACCCTATGTGCAGTTTGGTAAGTGTATCCAGTCTTTTTTTCAAATTTATTTTTCAAGTTAAAAGAACCATGTAATATTTTTTTTTTTGTTATATTGTGTGATCCACGTTGACAATGTTCTCTAGAACTCTCAACAGGCTGCTGTAGTGTCTCATGCTAAACAGTAGTTTAAGGAAAACGTAAAGGGATTCCTTTTCCCTGAGAGTTTAGAAAAACTAGGACAAACATGACGTGCTTAGATTGCTGACATACTGAGGAGATGTTTCTGTTTAGCTATCGTTGGAGAATGGAGGGCGTGTGACAGACGCTGGAAGGTGACAGTGCAGATGAAGTAGCATGGCTGACATGGCAGCTTTGGGTAACTTGCTATTTCTCTGAATTTCTAGGTTGTTTCTTTGCCCTTGTGGTTGCCTAAATCTTTAAGTGCAGGTGCAGGAAGAGAGCTGCAGAGACTTTCCTATCTTGGAGCCTTCTTCAGTCTCTCTGTCTTCGCTGAAGATGACGTAAGTGCTACAGAGGGATGTTGATAGTAGCATGGTGGGCGGCTTTTGTCTGTTTGTTTTTCCCTTCCTCAATATGTTCCATACATTTGCCAATATTCATTCTACTTGCAGAACAAAGTAGTTGAAAAGTACTTCTCAGGTCCTGCAATTACTCTTGAAAACACCCGAGTTGTTAGCCAGTCTTTGCAACATTACCTGGAATTAGCAAGGGTAAGTGTTCTCATGTTTAAAAAAAAATGCAGAAATATGTGGGGTTTTTGGTCTTGACATAAATGAAGAATACAACCTAAAATAATCTAGCTTCTGTATTAAACAACAAATCTGTTATGATATGGCTGAAGGGAATTAGGAAAAAAAAAACCAGAGTACTACAAATATTTCTCTAAGGCAGTAAAGCCAATTCAGAAAATAACAGAGCCGTTAGTCGTGGATTATAGTTCATGTTAAAGGATGAGGAAAACATGCACAGTGTATTAGTGGTGTGTGTGTTGCACTAGTCTATGCACATCTTTTCTGTAACTAATTTTATAATTAATATATGTCAAATAATGTTGACAATAAGACCACAACAGAAGTTGTAGTTTTGTGGAATTTGTAGAACATAAAAATACGGAGCAACAGAAAGCACAAAAGTGATGTTGAGATGTATGTGCAACCTGATGGAATGTTTACTTGTAATTCCAGCAAGAGTTGTTCAAGATTCTACACAGTATTTTACTGAATGGTGAAACTCGAGAAGCAGCTCTCAATTACATGGCAGCTATTGTCAACGCCAACATGAAAAAGGCACAAATGCAGGTAAATGAAAGGAACAATCTTCCTGTAATTCGTGGACTTAGTGAATGCACAGATAGCACTAGATGGCTCGCGTAGTGGTGGCTCTTGAAGGGAGGACAAAAGAATTTTTAACAGAGATTCTATATTAGATGCTTAAAGCTTTGTAACCCCCCCAACTCCTTGTGCTCCCCCCTTCCCAATCTATGGGGCCTTCATTCCTTCCAATTGGCTAGGTTTAAAAATCTTATTTTCCATCTGGAAGGTTTCTAGGCTTTGTTTGTATTTCTGTGAAGGGACTAATGCAGATATGAACTGGCATGGTTCCAGTGAAACAACAGGGATGTTGTTTTGCCATTGTATAATTAATGCATTGCACTAACTTCCTGTGATAAAATCTGTGCACGAGTCCTGAGCAACTGCAGTTTGCATCATTGTTGTCTTCAAGTTCTCTTTTCAAAAGCAAACATTTGAAATCGCTATTAGGAGTATTTCAGTAAAATTCCAGTGAAGAAGTAATAGAAACTTTACAGTTAAGATCAAACTTTGAATTGAAGCTCACCAAGAATTTGAAGCCCTTCTGTTGCTGTCTGTATCTGTGGCAAACCATTCTCGAAAGAGGACCTTTTAGGCCCTTTTCATTTCTTAGGTTGTCCTCTACTTCTTTTTATATTTCTTTATTGTTCTTGAGAGTGACAACTTGAACCATAGAGAAAGATAATATGTAAGTTGGTAGGTGACTTTACCGTTATTACAAAGGTCTCTTATCCACGTTCTTCATCATTTCTCCCTTTCCCTGAACTCTCATCATTCATTTACGTTGACTGCTGTTAAAGCAGCAGAAAATACCCTTGTACTTTTAAGCTCATGTCCTCAACTATTTCCTTTCTTACCCCACAGACAGACGATCGTTTGGTATCTACAGACGGCTTTATGCTCAACTTCTTATGGGTACTACAGCAACTAAGTACGAAGATAAAGCTGGAAACGGTTGATCCCATGTACATATTTCATCCCAGGTGTCGTATTGACCTCCCAACAGATGAGACAAGAGTAAAAGCAACAATGGAGGATCTTACCGCCTGGATTGCTGAACTTTGTGAGTACTCTTATGGAGATATGTTAAGCATTTACTCTGCCTTCTGGTTTTGTTACTGGAGATACATGGAAGTACTTGATTGCAGGAAATAATTCACGTATTCCTGAATGTTTTTTCTTGACACTGTCTACTCTTATTTGTTTGAAAGAAAGTTGAGTTCAAGGTCTCACCCCTATATAAGGCAGTTCATTTTTCAATTTATTCACCTGTACTGCTTTGTTTGTTTGTTTTCTAGACAGGGATCCGTCTCCATTTTCTGAGCCGAAATTCCCAACAGAATGTTTCTTCCTAACCCTGCATGCCCATCATCTCTCAATCCTGCCAAGCTGCCGTCGGTACATACGTAGGCTGCGAGCCATCAGGGAGCTCAACAGGTTAGAGGCTGTTAATTATCTAGTGCATCCGAGAGTCCTAGCATCCTGGCACTGTTGGCTTCTCATTATGATGGCAAATCCTATAAACTTAATGGAAATCAGAATGACAATTTGGGTAGAACTGCTGCTGAGGACAGAACATATTAACTATTAATCTGCTCCTTTTGGCCCTTAAGGATTTTTGCCTATGTTGAGGGACTGTGGCTTGAATCAGGAATTCAAATAATAGTGGGATGGAGGATACTGGTTACACGAGGCAGCTCAAATTGGAGAGAAGACCACTCTAAAGGATGATTGAATTACCTTCAGAGCATTTTAGGATTCATGACATTACTGAGCAGTGTTTATTATAACTGAATCTGTGGTGTGGCTGTTAATGGTGTGTGGACATCAATGCCTCAGCCTCTCTGACATAGCTGTAGGGGTGCCTATAAAGTTATGTGTCTGGCGATCAAGTCGTTGGAGATGACTCGTGATTTCAGAAACAAGACACTGTTAGTTGTGCCTGTGCTGTTTCATATGTTCCAGAAGATATTTACCTTTTTCCCCTTGGCTTCTCAGGTGGGATAACTTGTACTCTCAGGGCAGGAGGAAGGAAGCCTTCAGCAGTAAACTCTTAATATTGTTGGTGTAAACCTAATTCAGCACCTGGTTTACCATTTTTAAAATTCTAAATAAAGTTATGATATTGACATGAAGATACTGCTGTTTTACATTTCTCCTGGCATAAGTTCAAATAGACTTTTATAGTTGCTAAACCTTGAAGAATACTCTGTTAAAATTAGAACAGATTTTTGTATCATCAGTATTTTCCATTGTTTATAGTTGCACTCATTGCATTTTGGTAAATGTTCCTTGGCAGTAATACCATGAGTTCATTACAGGATTTTTGGACTGCATTTGTAGTGATTTCATTTTTAGTTTTTAAAGCACATGCAGGCCAGGAACCTGGGAAGCTGCAGAGACCAGAGCAGGAAGAATTAGTTTATTTTAAAGAAAAAAGTATTTTCATATAAACAGCTTGTGGATTACTTGTAAATAAGCCATATATTTGCCTTCAAAAAGGAATTGCTTCTTTTTCCTTATTTAGAATCGTTGCGAAGGAGTTGCTTATGCAGCAATCTCCATCTAACAGTGCAGAGTGAAGAGCTCTTGGCTTTTCCTGACATCAGTAGGAGCTCAGTCTTCAGCGTTTTCCTTGAATTGCTTAGTTCCCTGCAACACTGGGCAGTGTAATTAGATGTTGGTAATGAAGAAATTACACTGGATATTTTTTCTGCTGAACAAGAGTAGAACAAAACTGCAGAAAACATAATTTACAACAGTGGAAAGAGGGAAGATAGACAATTCAGACCCGTACCTTTCTTGAGAGAGGGAAGGTGTTTCTAACAAGTCCTGTTGTCAGCCACCTTTTTCTTCCTTAGCTGATTCTGTTTTCCTTTCTGATATCAGAGGATGAATGAGATCTCTGAATATCTCGTCATTAACTGGGCTCGCCCTTCTTTGTGGTGGGGTTAATTTTAATGAGATTCTTTTAACCTTCCTTTAGAGTAACTGTAGACTTCAGTGTGAAAAAAGAAAAAAGGCAAATACTTTTTTAATACAGTGGGTCAGATTAGTTTGTCAGGCAGGATAGATCCCTTCTGTGTTTCATCCCCCTCTTTTTTTTTTTTTTTTTTTTTTTCTTTTCTTTTTTTCTTTTGCTGTACTGATTTGTCCGACAGGCACGTGTGTTGGAGCTGGGGTACGTAGTGCCTTTGAATGCACACTCTGCAGGTGTTCAGTCTGCACTCACAAAAGCAATTTATTTTTCTTGTTATGATGATGGGTAACTTCTATGAACATTATTAGCTTGCTTTCCCACTTTTCTTCTCAATATTTCTGTGGTTTTTAACAGATAAGTAGATTAAATGCCTTATAGTTGGCAGTACATATCCTCTGTCATGATAACCAGTTATTGCATTTGGTTTTCAGGACTGTTGAAGATTTGAAAAACAATGAAAGTCAGTGGAAGGATTCTCCTCTGGCTACCAGGCATCGAGAAATGCTGAAACGTTGCAAGACACAGCTTAAGGTTTGTAAGTGATTCAGTTCTCAGCTAAATGCCTTTGTCAGCCTGTCTGTATGTTTACTTTGTGTCCTAATGTTTAAATGCAACTTCCCACTTGTGCTTCTTGAAAATGGTGATTTTGGATCTCGGAGCCGTGTGAGTGCTGCAGTAGATGGTGGCTGTGATACAATAGAACATCAGTGGTGAATTTAACATTCAAAGCAACACCAAGAGTAACGTAGGCAGTATTCCTCAGTTGGAAGAAAATAGTATTTTTATTGGAGAGAGAAGTGAAGAGTTTGTAATTTGTCCAGAGGTAGTTGTGCGTGCACAATCCGTGCATAATCCATGCCCAAGATGGAGATGGAGTCCCTAATCTTGTGTACAATTCTTGTGAAGGTGATTGTGTTGGGGTCCTCTCTTTTGAAGATCTGTCTTGCTTAGATCTTCCTAGTATAAAATCACACAAATTTTATGGGCTGTATCACCAACATGACTTTAATTGCACATTTTCCCATTTTGATACTTTTGTTATTTCTTTCACTGTTCCCAAAAAGCTTGTAAAGGGCTCCTCTGTCCCTGCAGCTCTGAATTATGTGTGTGTTTTTCTTGATATGTTGGGGCTTAAGTGCCCTGTTTTCTTCAAATAAGAGCATATTTTAAGAAGAGACCATTGTATAATTGTCATAATTCACAGGGATATTGATTAGCTTGGATAGGCTTGACCTTCTTTCATGTTGTCTTGCCCTGGATTAGTTTTTGTGTGCATGTTCTGCAGAAACTGGTGAGGTGCAAGGCTTGTGCAGATGCTGGTTTGCTGGATGAGAACTTTCTCAGGAGATGTCTGAATTTCTATGGCATGGTGATTCAGCTGATGCTTCGCATTCTTGACCCTGCCTATCCCAAGTGAGTGTCAGGATTATCTGTGGAAATTGTACCAAAGATATTTCAGTTCATGTTAGATTGTTTACTGAATTTAGCAGTTCTAGAATTTTAATGTTTTTTAATACAGTGTCTCCATTCTTACATAATTGTTACTTTATTTATGCCAGTGACATATGTTCTTGCATGGGATATATGAGTTTAAGGCTCAGTTGGAGTGGGGAGCAACCCTCGGGTATGTTTGATACCCTTGAAGTACTGACATGAATTGTTAAAATGTCAGTTTCAGGACTTGTGTAGAGCATTCCTGTAGGAGAATTCCATAAGAGAGCTCACGACACTTACTACTTAACCCTGCTGTTTTACTGCCCTGTTTGTTGTCTCTTTTATTCTACAGCATTAAATTGCCTTTAACTCCTGAAGTTCCGAAGGTATTTGCAGCATTGCCAGAGTTTTACGTGGAAGATGTTGCTGAATTTTTATTTTTTATTGTACAGTAAGTTACATCTAAAGGAAATTTGTTCTGCTGTTTACCTCTGTAACAGGTGGTGTGCATGTAAATTTAGGGTGCGACAGTAGTTCCTAGCTCTTCTGTAGTTCATGTTCTGTTTTTTAACAACAGCCGTAAGAATCTAGTTTCTCTAGAGAAAGATGGAAGATTATAATAAAATAACTAAACTTTTCCTATTGCTGATGAGTGATATGAAATTATTTGATGTATATGATAAATCTTCTGTAGACAAGACAGTGTTGGGGTTTTTCATTTTGTTTTCCTTACCTTCCTCTTTTCAGATATGCTCCTCAGGTGCTTTATGAGCCCTGTACTCAGGACATAGTGATGTTCCTTGTTGTGATGCTGTGCAACCAGAACTACATCCGAAATCCTTATTTAGTAGCCAAGCTAGTGGAAGTGATGTTCATGACGAATCCAGCTGTTCAGCCCCGGACACAGAAGTTCTTTGAAATGATTGAGAATCATCCTCTCTCCACTAAATTGTTAGTCCCCTCCCTGATGAAGTTTTACACAGGTAAGTGCTTTGTCCGTAGTTTACTGTGTGTTCAGTAAGCACTAAGTATTATAAGGCAAAAGGCTGTGTTGTTGTAACCTTTTTAAAAAAACAAAACAAAAAAACAAAAAAATACCCCCAAAAAACCAAAGCAAAACACACCCAAAAAATCCAAAACCCCAGGTAGATCCTGGGTCTTGTAAGGATGAGGCTTTGTTGCTCAGGAATCGGGGGATATAGCTTTAGATGGAACTTTGAGAATTCCAGTCCTCCCACAAGCTGCTGTGCACTGACAGCTCTAGCACTGTGGATTGATGTGACAGTTGTTTTTGTGGTGTTTAGGTTCCAAACTGCAAGTTTTTTGCTTGTTTCGTAAGGGAGTATTGGGATTTTAAAATTTCTGACCGTGGTTTTGCTGGTCCTGTAGATTTGGATGCTTCAAAAGGACTTTGTACCCTTGCAAACAACAATTTTTTTCAGTCTTCCCAGAGTTTTCTTATTATTGAAATTTTATCCTGTGGGATGAAGAGTAGAGTAAAGCTGGATAGAACAGGAAGTTTTGTTTTATGATGGTTTTTCTTCAAAAATGAGGTTGGTTCTGGGATAGAAGATGGACAGTGCTGCATCTTTAAATGGGGATTAAGGTGGAGACTTGTGAATGGGAATTGAATTTCATCTCTGTAAAACCTGGTGCCTGAACTGAATTCCCACTGAGGCAGCAGGGGAGAGGTGTAGTGTGTTGCGGGTGAATCCTGGTGGGAAAGACTGTGGGGTTCAGTGCTGGGATCTGTTTTCTTTTTCAGATGTTGAACATACCGGAGCCACTAGCGAATTCTATGACAAGTTTACAATCCGCTACCACATCAGCACCATTTTCAAAAGCCTCTGGCAGAACATAGCTCACCATGGTACATTTATGGAAGAGTTCAAGTGAGTAAGAAATTGTGTGTGATGCTGCTTACTGTCAGCTGCTCAGGCCATGACCCGAGGAGGTCATTCCCATTGGGAAGGGGTGATGCTGCTTTCCATTGTATCATAAATGGCCGTCCCTTCCAGTACAACTGGAGTGCTGCTAAACTGAGCTCTGGACACCACAATGAACTTGGCTTGGGGAATGGGATCATTATTCGAAATATACAGTGCAGAAGGAGTGTTGCTGGGGTTGCAGTCTGGTCTGCACACCCGTCTACTCTGCCGTGATAACTGTGTTTCAATGTTTTCAGCTCTGGGAAGCAGTTTGTTCGCTACATCAACATGCTGATAAATGACACAACTTTCTTGCTGGATGAGAGTCTGGAGTCCCTAAAACGTATCCATGAAGTGCAAGAGGAGATGAAGAATAAAGATCAATGGGACCTGCTGCCCAGGGTGAACAGAGATGTTTTTCAAAGTGCCCTTTACTTATTTTTAATTTTTTCATTCAAGACCATTAAAAAAACTTTTTAATAAGGGGCAGCACCAAAGAGCTGCTCATGAGAAGCAGTTCTTGATGCTTTTTCTTGCTGACAGTATGGCTGTGGTCACTCTGGATGACATTGTGCAAAAACCATCATTCCGTGTAGTTCTGTTGTGGCTGGCAAGGAGTGCGGTGTGAGGTGGAAATAGTATAAAGTTTTAAGTTACTGTGCACTTAACTCTAAGTGGAGAAATTGAGACTTTAACTTTCTTAAAGGAGGTTTTGGAAGATGCTCGCCAGTTGAATTGACTTCAAGGAATAGAACCTTTTATTTTGTTAATGCATTGGTCCTGGGTAGACTTGATGCAGACAATTAGAGTCCTGCACCTCAGACCTTAGCCTGATTGAACAATAATTGTATGTGGTGAACCACCAGTGTCAGGTATTTCTATTTTAAGGTTATTGTTTTTAACAAAAGAGTTGAAAAATAAAAGCTATGAGGTTCTTGTTTGTTAAACTTATTCTGGTTTGCTCTTCTGGAGCCTTTGTTCCTGTTTGTGCCTACTGGCAGGCTAAAGCTGTTACTGTAGTGACAAAATGAGCTGGTACCTCATCTACAGGTTGTTCCAGTGTGGGGCGTTTGTTGCTTTTGATGGTGCATAAATTAGAGAGAACATGACTTGACTCTCAGATCCCAAGCTGGTTTTGAAGTATTGGCATTTGGATGGAAAGGAAGCATAAATAACCCAGCTGTGCAGCTGTGAGGAGCAGATACAGGATGTGAACAGACTTAATAAACGTGGAGTCTTGTGATAGCATTTACATTAATTTTTAGCATTGTAGAATGCTGGAAAATTGGTGCAGACTTTTCTTTAGTATTGGGTAGTGAGCTGTACCTTAAATTAAAAAAATGTGTTGCATCTGGATTTGAACTGCAGTCTGTTCTTCTGTCTAGATCATGTTAGCATTATGAGTGTTGATGTTTTTATGGGTGCTGTAGGAAATTCTGTGGACTTGTAACCACTGAATGTTTGTTTTCTAGGATCAGCAACAGGCTCGTCAGTCGCAGCTAGCTCAGGATGAGCGGGTGTCTCGTTCATATCTTGCCCTGGCAACAGAAACTGTTGATATGTTCCATATCCTTACCAAGCAGGTTCAAAAGCCTTTTCTCAGACCTGTAAGTCCTGCTCAGATTTATCTTAGTTTCTAGCTTCTCTAACATCTCTACTGTTGGATGATAACCTGGAAATGTTTGGTGGCCCTTTGTCTCCATTCTCCTCTGCTTTCTCTAACTAATTGCTGATTGAGTTACTGATGTTAAGAGCATTACCTGAGCCTCTGAGATCTTGTAATCCTTCTAGACAGAAGCTGTTTGCATTATTTTTTAATGGAAAGTGTGCATAAAGAAAAGAAACCGCCAGCAAGCCTTCCTGCTATGATCTGTGTTTCACTTTGGTCTTGTAGGAACTTGGACCACGACTGGCTGCTATGTTGAACTTCAACTTACAGCAACTGTGTGGCCCCAAGTGCCGTGATCTGAAAGTCGAAAACCCTGAGAAATACGGGTTTGAACCAAAGAAGCTGTTGGACCAACTGACTGACATTTATCTACAGCTCGATTGTGCTCGCTTTGCTAAAGCAATTGCTGATGATCAGGTGAGCTCCAAAAAGATGAGAGAGGGAAGGGCAGAAGCACTGGGGGCAAACAGGACTTTGTGGAATATTCTAGAAGAGTTTCATTGTACTTATATACTGACACCCAACTCCATCGTATATGTTTGCAAGTTGTTTTCTTTCAGCAGATCACCTCTGTCCGTATTTTGTCTGCTCGTTATCAGTGGGTGTGTTTGCAAAGCGTTTTGCAAACCTGTAGACACACAAACATCTACAGCACTTCACAGAGGAAATTTCCTGAGCGTTAGTTGCTCATTAGCTACAGCCTCATGAAATGAGCGGAAGTACTTTGTCCTAATTTTGCAAGTGGGAAAAATGAAGCATACAAAGAGTTTTGACTCCTTCCCCCCTTCCTCATCGAGAACACATGAAACAGGTGGACCTGGGACTGAGAACGAGAGCCTCACTTAACAATTCAAGGTTCGTTCTCTAGACCAACAGTTTCCAAACTGTATTCCCTTTTACATCACTTGACTAAATGGCTGTGTAATAAGCTGACAAAACCCAACCTTTGTGTGTGAGACACCGTTGAACTCCTTGTGGTAGTCTTCAGAGCAAAATGTTAAATCTGAAGGCAGGTGCTCACCTCTGTGTTCTTGTAAAGTTGTCACACTCCTGAGTTGCATCTCTCTATGCCTGTCACTTACAATACAAACTTCTCAAAATCTAGAGGAAAGAAGTGTTCTCAATGGCTACTTGAAATTCTAGTGGAAGCTGGTTTTGTGTGTCTAGTGAAGCAGAGGTATCAGGGTAACTCACCATCTTTTTTCTGTAATTATTTAAGTTCTGATACTTGCAGGTAACAGCAGTAACAGTTCTGAAACAGACCGTATGTGTTGGCATGTGTATACATGGCAGTGTATTTTTTTATGCTGTATATATGAAAGCATCGTTCATTCATCGATGCTAGCCACAGCAGATGCACAGCAGTGACACAGGGATTAAAAAGAAAGAAGCCTGCTGGTGTGGGAACTGGAATAAAGCTTAATTAACAAAGTAGCCCTTCATAAAAAGGGAGGGGAGTGACTGGGATCTTGGAAACTGTCAATGGCAGGAAAGAAACACCAAGGAAATGCACAGTTGGTTAATGGCTACTGGTAATAGGAGAAAAAGACAAAACAAACAAAAAGTTGCTTGATCATGGCAGGGTCTCTAAAGCATTTTGATACATCTCCCATTTACAAATCCTAGCACGTATTAGAAGGAATCTGAAAACATTTATAAAACCCTGGGCATATTGCCATAGTCCTGTTCTCCTCTGTGGGCTAGAAAGGAGTTTGGGTGGGCACTGTGTATCCAGAGTGAATAGTTTTCCTTGGTGCGATATAGTGTAGATGAAAGAAGTGAGGCTGTGTTGAACATTTTAAAATCCCCGAGGAAAATAGGAATCTTTGAGACTTAGTGTGTTTCGTTGTTTAATTCAACCTTGCACTGCAGTGTAAATAACAATTTTTCTTAAAAGGCTGACGTCAAAACATGGCATTGTGAACTGAAAAGAAAATGGTGCCTTTAGAACATAAACAGCTTTCAGAAGTCCTTGCCTAACTTTCTTTTTTGACATGAAAGTAATGCTTGCTCAGTTGAAACTGTAGGATATGCCTTGGGTCTCTCTGAATGTTGCACTGTGTAGCTGTGCGGTTCTTAATGCACCAGCTGGCAGGTGTCCAGCAAGTTTCAGCTCCCTCTGAGTTGCCTTACTATTTTTGTAACATCATGGGGTGGGTTTTTTGTTTGTTTTTGTTAGGGTTAGGAGAAAGAATCTCTTCTTTCCCAGTACTGGCTTGCACATTATGAGAAAAGTTAAGAAATTTTAAAAAAAAACCTTTTAATTTTATGTTGTATTTTCAGCCAAGACTCATGAGAACAAGAATACAGACAGGAGTGGCAAGACAGATGTTTTGTCTAAGGAACAGTCTTAATAATTATAGTCAGCGTCTCTGTGTGTCTTAGTCATTTTGATTAGGTGATGTTGTGGGTTTTTTTTTGTTTGGTGGGGTTTTTTTGTTTTTTGGTTGGTTTTTTTTTGGTTCTGAACAGCTAGTTCTACAGTAGTGATGACCAGTAAAAAACCATAAGTCTACCCCAAAGTTGACATTTTGGAGCTAGATGAAATGTTATCGACATACTGCTTTTCTGTCTGCAACATTGAGGTTGTCTCATTGATCCCTCCTTCTGAAGCTTTAGAAATGCATTAAAAGATCTTTAGAATTTTTCTGGCGTGTTAGGATAGAACAACTCAGCAAAGTTGTCTTTTTATGCTTTGCTTGTAGAGGTCCTACAGCAAAGAGCTCTTTGAGGAGGTTATCTCAAAGATGAGAAAGGCTGGAATCAAGTCAACCATAGCAATAGAGAAATTCAAACTGCTGGCAGAGAAAGTGGAGGAAATCGTTGCCAAGAATGCCCGTGCAGAAATCGATTACAGTGACGCCCCGGATGAATTCAGAGGCAAGTTGAGTTTTCTAATACTGACTTTTTAGGAGAAGAGGGATTTGTTTTGTTACTTTAATTCTAAATATGAGTATATATCAATAGAAACTATAGATTCTTTACGAAGCCTTGCATCCTGCTCTATTTCAATTAAATAGTTAAGTAAAAGTAGGGAGCTGAGAGTTTCTTTGCTTTTCCTTGGGATTGGACTGTCCAGCCCTATCCATGTCTTGCTTACCTGTATTTTAAAACAGTAGGAAAAAAATCTGAAAATAGGGTGAAAATAGCTAATGCTTAGTCCCAGTTCTGAAAGGGAAAAGCAGCATGAAGGCTGAAGTCTGCTGCTCACTTGAACCATTTTCTGTAACTTATACAGATGTCTGGGGGCCCTGAATATTGGTTCTGCACTGTGGTTTTGTCTGCACATAAAATTTGTAGCTTTTGTCTTCAATTTAATAATGAGACACTTGTGCCCTCAGATCCCCTTATGGACACGCTGATGACTGATCCCGTGAGGTTGCCATCCGGAACTATTATGGACAGGTCCATCATCCTGAGGCATCTCTTGAACTCTTCCACTGATCCTTTCAATCGTCAGACGCTGACGGAAAATATGCTGGAACCAGGTGTCTGTTCAACAGTTAGCAGTTGACTGGGGGAAGCAGTCTGTGTGTGGTTTGTTCCGTATACTTCCAGAAGTGTTGAGGTTTCAGTTAACAGTTCTTTCAACTCGCACAGAAAAGTTCATTCCTTCTGTTTTCCCTTTTTCTGGGAAAAACCCCACACCCTTGCTGTTATAACTGCGGAGCTAAAGGATATTGTTATGGTAGGTAAAGGAGTCATCCATTTACTCAAAGCTGTGCAGAAGATCATAGAGAAGAAAATAGTAGTAGATATTCCTGATCAAGCTTTTAGAAAAGAAATTGCTGTTGGTCATGAAGAGCTTTCTTATAGTACTACTAAATAATTTAACTGCTAAGTTAATAATTCTTTTTTTTTTTTTTCTTCTTCTTTACACTATTAGTGCCAGAACTTAAAGAGCAAATCCAAGCCTGGATGAGAGACAAGCAGAACGCTGAGCATTAAGAATTCCCTTGCAGTGCACGCCAACACCGACGGGAAGACCAGGGCGTGGGCTGTTCTGGTGACAGTGGAGCAGACACACTTTGAGAGCTGTTTATGGGATTAGCACGCCCACTGGCACTGGCTTGCAGTAGTGACCAGGAGCATGTGGACGAGGAGAAAAGCGGCTTAATTCTTGTACATATATTTAAGTGATAACGATGGTCAATAACATGGAGGACAAGCTAGGAAGTTGCTTATGTTACAAAACTGTCCTTCAATATGTCACATTTTGGAGTTTTTACAGCTGAATTATTTTAGCAAAGATGAATGGATCAGGGCAGCATCCCTTCAACCTTATTTTTTACAGCCAGATATCCGTTAATTTGATTGTGGTTAGAACCTTGGACATTTGCTGCTAAAGTAACTTTTTTTTTTTCCTCCCTTCTTCCTCTTCCACCCATCAAACCTGCACTGCTGTCTTTTTTTTTTTTTTTTTTTTTGTAATGCAAAAAAAATAAAAATTTTCCCTGTGAAAATCAAAATCATTCCCCTGCCCTCAAAAGAACATATTCTGTGCGATAACTGTGCCTGCAACAAAGTGTTAATCTTGGGATCGTATTTTTATATTATACATATTTGCATATTTGGTTTTTAATTGGTGTTTGACACAAGGATAATATCAAAAAAAGCAAAGATTTCACACATGGATTTTAATTTCTGTTCTTTGAAATGTCCCTTTTCTTTATGTTTATCTAGATGCTCTGGTATTTTTGAAAAGCCTTGAGACAGATATGGTAAAACATCTGCCACGAATGAGATGCTTGGGAATACCAGGTTTTCAGTGACTTTTAAAAAAATAAAATCCGTTCTTTTAATGCTGCAGATATGATAGATGCTAAATGAGAGTTCTGAGCCATTAGAGCTTGTCTGCAGAGAGCAGATCCTTTTATTCTTGGAGGCTGCAGTTCGGGGCAGGGGTCATTTTTATGTTGTGTACCAATTTGTATCCATGGCTTGGCCTTACCAAAGCAGAAAGGGTGCAGGAAATGTAGAATTACATTTTTAAAAAAAAATAAAAAAAACATATTCACAAACATTTTTGTATTACTGCCCCCTGCATATGATACTTGAATTTCCTTTTTAAAAAGGATTTGAAACCACAGTGTTTTAAAATTGTCTGAAAAAGAGGTTGTTTTTCTTTTATTTGTTTTTCGCTGTGTCTTCTGTTCAATTCCTGACTCTCTTGAACTACAATAAATGATACACACTCGCACAAAATGTTTCCTTCGTCCTTCTTTCCTGTTTAAGTCTATCAGTGAAAATATAAAAAATACAAATGATTGGGCGGCATTGTTCAGGTTTGCTGATAGTGATTTAGGATCTGGAGATAACTTAGTAAATTATGTGAAAAGTTTCCGTGAACACAGATATCAGTAATGCTTCAAACTCATGAATGTTCCCAAGTGGGTGACTCTTGTACCTATTCATAGCTACATGACAGTTGGTGACAGGCTCCAGGGGGAATTCAGGTTATATATAATCCAGTGCTGACCTTTGAGATGTGCAAGTAATTCTCAATTAAAATGTGAAGATGTAGTGCGGTTTTGTTGGGTTTTTTGGGTGGCATTTCCCCCCCCACCCCAGTGTGTTTTTGGCTTTTTTTTCCCCAAGGGTGGGAAGAAGATTCCAAAGTTTGTGTCTACATGGACTGTTGGAACAAAGAAACTTGTTTGTTGACTGGTTTTAGTTCCCTAACCTTCACTCCTTCCCCAAATTCAAATCCCCCTCTTCAGAAGTCCCAGAAAAAGGTCTGCTGTGCTTTTCTGTAAGCCGTCACTCAGCATCCAACCCCACCATGGTTTCTGAACACGTTACAAGGGTATGCAGTGAGTTTCAAGGTGTGTTTTATTTTTTAGTAAAGAGGTAATTATTTTCCACATAAAAACTCTAAAATGTTCCACTGGCACCTCATTATTAAGGATTATAGCATGAAATCTCTAGAAACATCCCAGGATTGATATTGTATTTGATACAGGACTGTCCAGCAGTGTGTATTTCTTTTTATTGGAGGATGATTAAACTGCCATGGTTTCACATGATGGCTTTTCTTCTGTAAGTTGACATGAGATAGCTTTTAGCTTTATTGACAGACTAGGACTGTATTGGAAAGAGAGAAGAAATGCTTCTGATTTTCTTCAGCTATTACAAACTGGACACACCACCACCTTCTGTGAGTACGGATGCTGTGGAAACAATGAGCAGTCTTATAAATGAGAAGAGCTCAAGCAGAAATAATCCATCCTTAAATTAAAAACAGCTGGTTGCTTAAGTGTATCCTGTACAAGGCTTGAGGTCTGCTATTAGCTATCAGTTCCTGATATTTCACACTTGAAGTGTTGTTACTAATATCCAAGAGGGTTCTGAATTTTTTTTTTTTTTACCAGAAAATCTGTATGGAGCTAGCTTTTTAAAATGCAAATATAAAATGTAAATCCTGTTTTTTTAATTATTCCATTGTACCACCTGAAAGGCTTGTTTGAACAAATTCAGGATGTTTCTCCTCACCTTGTCTGGCAGGAGGAAATAGAAATGTTTACAGTTGGTATAGGATGTGTTAAGACAATGCCCTTCAGAACCTGAATTTATTCTGCCATCGTATCAGGCTTCAACCTGAGGAATATAAATAGCAATGTGCATTACTGAACTGTTTTGTCTAATTATGGGCTCCATTTATCACTTCAGAATGTATCACTGCAGATACTACAGAAGGCATGAAGACTAACAGTAAGTGGCTAAAACTATTTTATCTGGAGAACTATATCAGGTATTTCAAAGGTGTGAATTTAGCCAAGTGTTCTCCCAAACTCAGCATTCATGGGCAGAATAATGAAATGTATTTTAATATGAGCACCTCAAAGTACCATTCTATTGCTGTCTTCTGGGTAGAGAGTGACTCAAAACCCTGTCTCATAGGGGACAGTGGGGATTCGAGTAACTGGGAAGGAAAGCTGAAGTTAGGATTGGATTAAGAAGAAATCCTCCCCCAAAAGCGGATCATCTCTGTGACAATTCTTAGTTTAATTCATTTAATACCATCTGCAGGTTTTTTGTAATTTCCCTTTCCCCTACTAACATGTAATTTACCTTTTTCCATCCAACTGTAACCTTATTACAATACAGACTTTATATTAGAGATCACAGAAACTATCAATTGGTCAAATTACCTTTGATGTTGGCACGTATTTGCAGAATCTGAGTAGCTTGGAGCTGTGAATTGCTCTTCCCAGGACTTGTTAACTTAATAAACATTACAAAATGTGCTTTTCTTGGAAAATTTCAAGTTACAAGATTGTATCGCTGGTCTTTAGTCTAGCTCGAGGGCAAGTAGAGATAGAGGAAGTTCTGATGTTACAGCAATAGAAGTCAGTACAATTGATTCTATTATATCACAATTTACACTTGCATAACAGCCCCATTTTCATCTCTGTCACCTATTCCCTGCTGGCAGCAAGGACATCCTCCTGCTGTTAACAGCAGCACGGCAACGCTGCTTTAGCCAGCAACAGACTGACTCTTAACAATCCCCAGGAGTGTTGCCCTACAATGCAGTTGTCTTCCTTACTGCTTAGCTTAACCCTACCCTTGTTCCTGTATTAACGAGGCTTCCCAATTTTAGGTCGCATCTCTCAGTGATTTGAGTAACCAACTGCTTTGTTTGTCCTGATAAAGGGATTAAACTTCTCACAGTATTACTTGCTCTCACTTTTCTGGTATAATAATGCTCAGGAACACTCTCCTGTGCTGGGGACCCTCATTATGTGACTATTTTATTGAAAAGAAATGTCTAAATTAAGAGTTTCAAACGCACGTTTGTAGGGAATTGGATCGGTTTCTGCTGTTGTGCAGAGTTATACGGTATTGGGACCTTTCTTACTCCTTTTGTACCAGGGAATGGACGCTAATTTTGTAAACAGAATTCATAGGTAGAACATCGCACTAGTACATTTTTTTAGTAAGTTATTTCTACATTACCCAAGGAGACCTGACTTTTAAAAAATTACATTAGTTAAATCGAGATAAAATGCCCAAGTTCTATAATTAAAAAGGCATCACAACCAGCTACAGGAGGACTGCCTGAATACTTCACCACCTTCCAACTCCATACTTGGATATTTAAAGAGGAATTTTCCTCATCTCCCTCTGCAGTAAGTGACCTCCAGATGCTATACAGCGTGTGTCATACGCCCTTTACCGTTTTCTTTCTCAACATGTAACTAGACTTCAGCAGCTCTTTCAAGACTCTGTAAGCAAGTAACTGAATTAACATGCTGGAACTATTCTCTGCGAGTACTCTCCAAACTTAGACATAAGACAGTGATGCAGGAACTACTGTTCCTAAGAGACACTACACAAACTTTGCTAAAGTAAAATTAATCACCTTGTCTATTGCCATGGAGGATTACAGCACATGCCCAGGATTCTGACAGTTTGCAGAGGAAACAGGTTTTGGTTTTTGAGCAGGTTTTTCTGATGGGTTTTTTTCCTAGAGAAATTACAGCTGACCTAATTCTGCATGGCCCTAGACAGAAGTCAGCACAGTTACACCACAGTAAAAACACCACCACGTCGTGTGTCCCATCAATAGGAAGTCTTCCGAAGTTCAAATAACGCTATTTTCTAGGACAGATGCTTTGTTCTGTATCAGTATTTCGCTACAGCCCCCTGCTCAGCTCTGCACTGTTAGGCTTTAGCATCCATGGGCGTGACTGCGGTTGATGGACACGCACCAATGAGACAGGCGATGGGGAAAAGCCGCTTCTCATCTAACAGAAAGTAACAAATACCTCACTCCCCCAAAACCCTGAAACTGATGGGCAAGGGAAGAGACACAGTGAGGATTACTGCACGTAACAGCCAGCGGCACCTGAACAAAAACAAACCTCATTCTGCAAACAGAAATCCCAGGTCCTAAATGTTCTCCACAGCTGAAATCCAGCTCATCTGACGGTGTGTGTATGGAAAATACACGATGAAGGTACTTTTTTGGTTTTTTAAGTGCTTATAAGCTTAAACACAAGCCTATTTCTACCAGTAGAAATGATCAAAGTACTACGGGAAAGGAGGAACTTCAAGTTATTGCCACAAAAATAAAACTTTTACAACCGGAATATGCATGAAACCATGGGAAGTACAAGAGCCAGTACAACACCACGACTAAAGCAATTCAACCCCTTCCACAGAAATACGAGACCTAAAAAAAAACCCAGCTTAAGTTTCCTCAAAATGCGTTTTGAAGGGGGAGAAAAGGGAAAATGAACCCCTCCCTGTGAACTGCCCCCGTCAGGCTTCGCGTACGACTCGGAGCCCTACTGACGCCCCCGAGGCCGGCTGGGAGCTGCC